ACAATTGTATCATCTTCCCCTTCTCTTTCTGCCCTCCAAGCCCTTCTACATACCCCCCCTTGCCCTCTTTCATTGGTTGTTCAATACTAAATAGTTGTGAAAACATACTGTTAGGTCTCAAAAACAAAACAAACAAAGAATCCTGGAACAAGTCTCAGTAAGAGGAAGGAAGAGCTGTGGCTCCTTCCAGCACTTCTTACCAGGTCCCCTACCCTAAACTTCTCCTACCCAGAGGCTGGGCTTGGCTTCCTTTCCCCTAGCTTCTGATTCCTATACAACCAGCCGTTTGGGCTACACACTCTCTAGGTCTCCTGACTCTTGGCCTCTTGGCTCCTGGCTGGCTCACTCTTGGCCTTCTTACCCTCTCCTCTCTCTCCTCTCTCTCTCCCTTGCCCCCTCCTCTCCTCTCTAAAAGCCCTGCTCAGTTGGCCAGCCATGTTCGGTCTAGCCTCTTCCAGATGCCTCTGGACGTGCTCTCCAATATCTCCAAAAAACCCTTCTCTTCAACCATACCTAGGAGTGGTCATGTCCTCATTTTCATTCACATATGTACATATAACATTATAGATGCTGAGCAGGGAGTGTTCATGTATGTACATATGTGAATATACACATAAGTGTGCATATATGTATGTAATGGCAGTTACTGGGAAATACTCTTAGCAGGGACGTGGAGTGGACTGCAAAGAGAGTGGCCCTTACTGGGTTTGGAGTGGGAAGGATAGGTTGGTCGTGAAGGAGTTGACAGGCCTGAGGAGAGGTTCCCAGGGAGAAGACGCATTAGTCATCACTCCCTTTTTTCATTCATATTCCTGAGACTTTTAGAGGGCAGAAGCAGAACTGAAACCTCAGGGGGAAGGGGGCAAATGGAAGGGGAAAGACAGAGACAGAGAGAAGCCGAAGCTAAATGCGTAGCATCTTTAGCTGCAGAACAGAATTTTTTCTTCCCTGCTTACTTGCTGGTAAGAGCTATTGCCCATTGAGGGAGGGGGTTTGTGGTCCCCAAGCTCCTTCCTTTCCTGCAGACTTTCCACTCTCAAGGCAAGAAGGAACAAGCAGGGTGTTAATGTGAGACTGAAAAAAGGCATAAGTGTGGTGGAAAAGCAGTGTTGTAGTACACAGTAGGATGTAGACTAGGCGGGTGCAAGGAGGAACTCCCATTTCCCAACCCCAGGCAGGGTCCAGAGGGAGGATCTTTCCTTAGAACAGTGAAAGACAGGAGATGTTAGCGGTTTTTTTTTTAAAATCTTTATCATTTTTTCTGCTTCCTTTCCTTACTCTCTCTTCCCCACCCCTCGCCTCTCTTTCTCCCATCTTTCTTTCCCCTAATTCTTTTTGTAGTATCTCACTCTATTGCCCAGGCTGGCCTTGAACTCACAATCCTGTCCCAGCCTCCCAGGTGCTAAGATTATAGCTGTGCATCGCCATGCATGGATCACGTTCTTGTGGTGAGTGATAAAGAACGTGGCTCTGGTCTGTGGTGATTGTTCCATTGCCCCATCTTCTCCAGAAACAGGTGTGCTTTTTGAAGAGTGTCATATGCTCAGCACGACACAAACCGCAACATTTTCCCTTGTGCAGATTTGTTCACCACATCCTGATCTCAGAAATCTGAAAATGTAAAGTCACCCCTGCCCCTTTTAGGGCTCTGTTCTGACTAGCTCCTGTGAACGAATTCCTTGCTTATATTTTCCCACAGTGTAGCTGGAGGGCTTCTCTCCAGGTTCCCCAAGCCCCGCAGTCCCACAATCCACTTATAAAATAATCACTCAGACGCTTATATCACTTATAAACTGTATGGCCGTGGCAGGCTTCTTGCTAACTGTTCTTTTATCTTAAATTAACCCATTTCTATAAATCTATACCTTGCCACGTGGCTGGTGGCTTCCCGGCATCTTCACATGCTGCTGGTCAAGGCGGTGGCTGCAGTGTCTCTCCCCCAGCCTTCCGCTTCCCAGAATTCTCCTCTCTCCTTGTCCCACCTACTTCTTGCCTCGTCACTGGCCACCAGTGTTTTATTTATATAGAACAATATCCACAGCACCACAGTTTCTTCTTCTTCTTTCTATCTTCTTGAGTAAATTAAACAAACATTTTTATGGGTTTGAATATGATATTCACACAGTCAAGTACTGGAGATTGAACCAAGGGCCTTCTGTATGGTAAGCAAGTGCTATCTGTGCCTCTGAGCTACATCTCACCTTGATGCGATTTCTTGTGACTGGAGACTGAGGCCAGGACCTTGTGAACACTAGAAAAGGGATTTGCCACCAGCCCTGTATTTTTTTTTTTTAAATCAGAACCTCACTAGGTAGCCTAGACTGGCCTCAACTTGCTGCGTAGTCCAGGATAGCCTTGAATTCAAAATGATCTTCTTGACTCAGTCCCCTAAGTGCTGGGATTGTATGTGTACCAAACCCTCCTGGCCTAAACGACTTGAGTAAAAGAGCTACTGGTGTGGTGGCTCATGCCTATAATCCCAGCCAACTTGGGAGGCTGAGGTAGGGAGATCAGGTGACTCAGCTGTTCGAAGCTGACTGCATAGTGAGTTCCAGGATAGTCTTGAGATACAGTGTGAGACCCTGCTTGGACATTTTTTGGTTAAAAACAAACAAACAAACAAACATACCTTGGATGGGAGAAAGCACATTAACATCAACCTGACCCAAAGAATTACAGATACCTAAGGAATGCTGGGAGTGGGAGATAGTCTTCCCCAGGGAAGAGCTCACCTATTGATTATTCACCACCAAATGGTCAGTCCTGAAGTCAAACATACATGTCATATTATGCAGACTGAGCAGGTTGCGTTTATGTGTTTAGAAATACATGTGTATAGACATACATATATGTATGTAATAACAATTAATGTAAAAAGAGGCTATGAATTTGAACGAGAGTAAGGAGGTTTATATGGAAGGTTTGGGTGGAGAAAGGGAAGGGGCAAATGTGATTATATTAATCTCAAAGAATAATAAATAATAATAAATTTGA